TTTATCTTTTGTTAATTTAACATGAATATTTTTTTTGTAGTATTGATATTTTTAAATAACAATTTTATATGTTTCTATAAAAATTTAATCTTAATATTTTTTTTAAATAAATTACTAATTTAAAATATATATGCTAATTTTTTTTTTAATTTAACTTTTTCGTTATCGATTTACATATTTGTTTTTGTTAGTTTAGTTTTTATGACAATGAGTTTCTTTTTTTTTTGACAAACGTTATAGATTTAGATTTTTAATTTAAATTTTTTTTATTTAGTTAAAAAAATTATCTTAATTTTCCATTCTACTGTGATAATTTTATATTTTTGCATGTTATAATTTATTTAAATTATTAATAATATTTAATATTTTTATGTTTAATAAAAAATGCTGATATAGACCAATCAGTTTGAGTATATATGTCATATGAAGATGTTCTCATTGGCCTAAGACATCAACACGGATCACAAATAATATATTTTAAATTAGCAGTTCAAATTTTAATTATTTGTCGTGATTAAAATTTAAAAGTAATTTAATTATGGTTTTAAATACAGTTTTTAATTATTTTGTTCAATATATTTGATTTTTCTTTCATAATCTATTTATATTTTAATTTACTTTTTATTGTTAATAGAAAAATAAGATCTATTTTTAAAATTGTTTTTTATTAATAAAAAACTTAAAATTTATAAACTTTCCTAATAACAACAAAAACAGAATTAATTAAAATTTAGAAATTTTCCTTATAACAATTAAAACAAATTAACTCATTTTAATATAATATATAATTAACTAAAAATAATGATAATGTGTACTAATAGAATTAAATCTTTAAATCATATGTGGACACCCTTAGAGACATTTAGCATCAACTTTTATTAGTAATAGATATGTTGCGGGATTTTAATAAAGACCACGTTTTTAGTTGGCTTTGTTTTGCAATTTCTCGGCTTGTTTGTTGATGATTTAATTACTATTTAGACCTAATCTTTATAAAAATTTAGACATAATCATCATCATAAAATATATAAAAGTTGATGTCATAGTGCATTGAGGGCGTCCACATGAGATTAAAAACTCAATTTGATTGGTCCACATCAGCATATTCATTAAATAAAAAAATATTAAGTATGATTAGGATAGAAAAACTTAATTTAATTGGTCCACATCAGCTTTTAAATCAAACCGAAAATTATTAATTATAATTAAAACGTTAAAAGTTAATTTAACAAATTATGTCCAACAAAAAAAAATTCAATCTGATTGATACAAATCAACATATTTATCAAATCAAAAAATGTTAATATGGTTTAAAAATTTAAAAGTTAAATAAAAAAGTAACAATTAACAATAAATGTATAAAAAAAGTAACCATAAAAATATAACATAAAACTCTTGGAAGACATGATGGAAAAGGAAAAAATGGTTTTGCATGATCATTACAGCTTCCTAACAAAATTAAATGCGAAGCAACATGAATCATGAATTATATATGCAGTGGTACACAACATCAATAAGACTTCCAATAAAAAACTAAATATTTGAACACATAAACGGAACCTTCAAGAAAAAAAAGAACTGTAGAAATTCTATAGAAAACAGAAAATAATACCAAAATCTTAGCAAGATTATATTTCTCTAAATCAAATGTATATGTACGTCAAAGTTGGATAATTCGATAGGTATCATTGTTATTATTTTACCTAACATTTTTAAAAAAAAATTATAAATAAAAATAGGATAAATTACACATTATATATTGAATTCTCTTATATAAATAAAAATTTATATAAATATATTATATTTTTAATAATTTTAAAGATGGTACCTAAAAAAATTAAACCAATATATTAATATAGACTCGTGCGTAGCTAGTTATTTGTTAAAGATTGACGCTTTACTTTTTAATTAGTGTTCTTATAGCTTTTAAGAGCAATTAATGATAATATTTTAAATAAAATAAGTTAAAATGAATGAAAAACTTAGAAAGAGAAAAAGCAATAATTAATATAGGAGTAAAAAGTGGAAAAATAAATAATTAAAAAAAAAGCAGTTACAGAAATTTGTCTTAATATATGTGTAATATCTAAAACATCATGCATTCAAAAACAGAAGGAGTATATATATAAAAAAAACAAATCGACTGATAAATTTTCATTAGAATGTGATGAACAGCTCGTGTATTTATCATTTTTATCAAATTTGTAAAAAAAAATCAAATTTGTTTTCTCATAAAACTATTTTTTAATTTAATTTTTAAAGATACTAATTTGGTAAATTAAAAACTATAGCACAGATATGGGACAATTTTCAAAAGCAAGAAAAAACTACTGAAATCTTAATCAAAATCAATTAAATAAGATACATGATATTAGTAAAATATATTTAATATATTTAATAGTTTTAAAATATGTTTAAGACCACGTTTAATAAATTTCACATCACGGGTTTAAGATCACGTTTTTAGTTGGCTTTGTTTTGCAATTTCTCGGTTTGTTTGTTGAGGATTTAATTACAATTTAGACCTAATCTTTATAAAAATTTAGACATAATCATCATATAATATATAAAAGTTGATGACATAGTGCAATGAGGGCGTCCACGTAGGATGAAAAAACTCAATCTGATTGGTCCACATCATCGTTTTTCATTAATCACAAAAATATTAAGTATGATTAAGATGAAGAAACTCAATATGATTGGTCCACATCATCCTCTTTCATTAAACATAAAAGTGTTAAATTTGATTAAAACATTACAAAATTAATTTCTATTTTATAAAAATATTAATTTTGTTTTTTTTTTTAAATTCGATCTGATAGGTCCACATCAGTATTTTCATTAAATGAAAAGATGTTAAGTATGATTATGACGAAAAAAATTGATTTAATTGATCAACATCAGTTTTGTAATCAAACCAAAAACTATTAAGTATAATTACAATATTAAAGTTAATTTAACAAATTATGTCCAACAAAAAAAAAGTTAATTCAATCTGATTGATCCAAATCAATATATTTATTAAATTAGAAAATACTAATATGGTTTAAAATTTTAAAAGTTAAATAAAAAAATTAACAATTAACAATACATATATAAAAAAAAGTAACCATTATCAATTATCAATTTAAAAAAATTTACAACAACTCGATTTAACAATTAAAACAATAAAAACTGAATAAAAATATAACATAAAACTCTTGGAAGACATGATGGAGAAGGAAAAATGGTTTTGCATGATCATTACAGCTTCCTAACAAAACTAAATGCGAATCAACATGAATCATGGATTATATATGCAGTGGTACACAATATCAATAAGACTTTCAATAAAAAAAACTAAATATTTAAACACATAAACCTTCAAGAAAAAAAGAACTATAGAAATTCTATGGAAAACAGAAAATAATATCAAAATCTTAGCAAGATTATATTTTTCTAAATCAAATGTATATGTACGTCTAAGTAAGATAATTTGATAGGTGTCATTGTTATTATTTTACTTAATAGTTTTTTAAAATTTATAAATAAAAATAGGATAAATTATACATTATATATTAAATTCTCTTAAATAAATAAGAATTTCTAAAAATATATTATATTTTTAATAATTTTAAAAATGATAGCTAAAAAAAATTAAACCAAAATATTAATACAGTTATATACCTAGTCTTTATAAAGATTATGCCGAGCATTCTTTTAGAGGCCGCCTCGTTCTCTTTCTCTCTCGCTCTGTGTATGGGCTCTTGCTTTTTCTCATGGATTCTCTCAGCTATTAGTATATATTATTACTTTTTTCTTGTCTCTTGTGCTTGTTATGATAGTGTATCTCTAGTGCCTTCTGATTTGGATTCATTGAGACTTGTTCGTAGGGGTTTGGTGAATCTGCTAAAACTTGAATCTATTTCAGGGTTATGACTGCTTACTTTTTGTTTTTCTCTAGTTGATCTACTGATTTGAGCTTTGTAGCCTGCGACAATTATGCATGCTGCATTAGAACATCGTTATGTATGCTGTTATACCCTTGTTAGACCTTTTGTTCTCTCTTTGATCTCCTCCTCCTCTCGTTTGATCCTGCATATGTGTGGATGTGTCATGCGGTGGAGGAGGAGATTGAGTGGGAATAAAAGGAATAACAAGTTAGCGTTTTTGCTGTAAGATGGGATTCCATCTGATATCTACAGCTTAACCGTTTTCTGCAGCTGCTGTAAGTTTTCCTTTGCTTTGTCTACAGTTGAGACAAGATCACCAGTGTTGTTATCTAGAGCTAGCAAATTCCTTTGGATCTTAGTTAATTTACTATGTTCTTGTGTGATTTTGCGGAATGAATCACCCACAGACTTTTACATATTGGTGACATGAGCTGTTGTGTAAGGGAGTGTTTCGCAAAACCGCAGTGTAATTGTCATTATACCATTAGAGTCGATCTGATTGCGTTCTTCCTTAACTGAGAAACATATTGGGCGATGGTGGTTTTGTGTTCTTTACAGGCAGTTAACGAAGCACATATATGAAACTTCTTTGGTGAAGTTGTGTTACTATGTTACAGACCGCATCGTACCAAGAGATTGGGCTAGTTCTTTCGTCTGAACAGTATGGAAACGTGAGAGATGGAGAAATGGTCATGGAGAAACTTAAGAGAAATTTGAAAAGTAAAAATGAAATACGTAGCACCAAAATGGGTACCCTGTTCGAGCAGAACTCTACGTTATGGATGAAGCCTCCAGTAGGAAGCCAGTTACTGTTTTGGATCCTGAGGAGAGAAAAGCCCTTAAAGGCCTGTTGTGGTCTCTGATTAGTAGTCAGAGATAAACTACATTCTCCCTGACAGTTTTTAAGGTTTTGTTGTGGAAGTAGTTGCTTCGTCTGAACTGTACAGATAATATAATCATGAATAATCTTCTCCAAGTATGTATTAAAAATCTCTTTTGTTTATTTGTTAAATCTTTTTCCTTTCCCCCATCAAACCAAATTAGTCAACAATTTTGTTCCATAATAGTTATGTTCTGGTTGATGCGGCATTTAAAAGAGTCAGAAGATCCATCCAGGGAAAATGGATTTACATACCTCCCCCACCTTATGGTTATTGCTGCATCAGTTACTATGACGAGTCCCAAATTTCCTGTGTATGTATACTATCCTCCTCCTTACCTAATGAGATCCTCCAGCATATACTTTGCTTTCTTCCGACCAAATTCTCTATCAGAACTTCCCTCCTGTCCAAACGATGGAAGGGTTTATGGTGCGACACGCCTTGTATCTCCTTCGCTAGCTGCACACTCATGGCTGCTTCGAGAAACAAGACCCAAGATCACTACACTGCTCAAAAGATGATGAGTCTACAACTCCGGACCGGCCAGATCCACAGTGTTAATCACATCAGCACTTGGATCGAGCTGGCCATGAACCGCAGAGTGGAGAGTCTCTCCCTCGAACTTAACTTCAAGAGCGGTTATAACTATACTTTTCCTGATCCCTTCTTCATCCAATCCTCACTCAAGGAACTCAGCCTTGAGTCTCGATTTAAAACTATGATTGTTCCCAAAGTATCTGTGTCTTGGACATCCCTCAAGAAGTTGTCCTTGCGTAGCTGTAAGCTCTCTGATGAATCATTGGCTACGATTTTATCTGGTTGTCCGGTTCTCGAAAGCCTGACGTTGTGTTTCTGCGATGACCTGACTGTTGTTGATCTCAGCAATTCGCCGACTCTGAGAACATTGGAAGTGCAACGCAGCGTAGATGTACTGACGCTAATGCAGATTTTGGATAGCACTAAGCTATTATCTACTTTAGTTGATGTCTCATCTTTAGCTGAAGCTACACTGAACCTCTGCTTTGGCCCATCTGGCACTGGCTTCAATGGTAAGTTTCTTAAAGACACGGAGTTGGAAATGTTACACAACGTAGAGAAGCTATCTTTTGGGAGACAGTTTCTCGAGGTATGTTCCGATGGATTAGTCTTTGATTTGATTTTCTATAAGTTGAGGTACTTTTGTGCACGCTACTTTCAGTATCTCACTATCTTTCTCTTTGCTTCTTCTGTTAGTTTTTATATCTTTTCAAGCTTGGTGTTCCGATGTTGAAGGTCAAAGATTTTACTTTTTACACAAAACTCTATGAGCATGTTATTCCTTCTGATATGTAACGACTGTTACAAAGCTTACCTGATTTGAAGAAGCTAAGAGTAAACAGAAGAGCTTGCATGAACAAACTGGTATACTTACCATAAACCTCTCTTTTTTTTTTTTTTTACTTGACCATGCTTTAACTATCAACGAGTTTGAATAATCCAAGAACCATGTTTGTTTTTTCTTTCTTTTTTCTGTTGAGCAGGGGTTCCGTCGTCCGAGCAAGTCCCATCTGGATGCAGAGTCAAAGCGCGTGGCTACATTTATGGAACCTGTGTTTAACAGGATTAAGACATTAGAGAAAGTGGTCGTATGGTTGGAAGACTATAACCTAAAGCAAGAGCGTTTAAAGAGATGGGTCAGACACTTTCTCACAACAACAACAACAATGTCTCCATACTTTGGTCTCCGACGATAGATAAGTTGTGAATCATAGGGTTTTGGTCTTGAGTCATGCTGAACATTTTACATCGATCCTCATCTTAACATATACTAGAAGAAATAATGTGCGGGGAGACTAAGTACATTTCTTATATTTGTCGTCTCCTCTGTGTCCCAGTAGCGATGCTCATATACACTGGTTATTTACCGTTTTGGTAAGGATTCAAAGATTTGGGCGTATATATCTATCTTCTTGACGTGAATAACGCAGAAACATATATTCAGAGCAATCTCTTAAACGCACAACGGGATCGAGGGAAACAGACGACAAGAGGATCAGGCACTTGTGCCACAGAAAGACCATCTAACACACGCTGCATTGCCATCATTGTGAAATCATGTTATTAGGCACAAAATAGTAAATCATGGTTTTGGTACTTGTGCCTAAAGTTAGGTCAAAGTTAAAGTTTATTCACGTACTGATGGGCCATCTCTTTATATTCTATAAATAGTCGAAGAAAACCAATGTCTTTTACTATCATATCGTGACGAGTGTTCACTGTTCAAGTAAACCCAAGTTCGTTTTTTTAATCATCCACACACATTTATATCAAACAAGAAAGCTCTTTGATTGGTCAAAAAAAAAAAAAAACACCAAACATAAAAATAAAATACAAGGTGGCACTGTGTGAGTAAAAAAATTATTAAATTTACTTGTGAAAAAAAACTAAAACCCTTTCTAAACTCACGACTATGTTCTTCTTGCATTCGTTTTCCACAGCAAACATCCTTTTACATCTATTTTTAAATACTAGGGGTTGCCTGCGTGATGCGCGAGTTTAGTCTGAAAAAAAATAACTATTTTATTTTCATTTGATTTTGGTTTGAATAAATTAATTTGATCCATTTTTGTTGTACTATTTTAGCTGTGTCGCTTTTGTTATAGAATTTTGTCAAGCTCTTTTGTTAGGTTCGTAACTATTCGAATGGTACACATTTTATATTAGTGTATGTTAGATTTGCAACTATTTGAATGATACACATAAATTATCAATAAAATATATTATCTTCTAATTCTCTCACCAATGTGGGTTGTGGTGTTTTGTTTTGTTTTTGTTAAAAATTCAAAACAAAAAAAAATTTATGATTATTATAGTGGATCTTCAGCATTAATTAATTGTTAATATATAAATAGTATAATCTACCAACATATCTCATTTAGTTTCTTTTTAATCAATAAATATTATAAAAATAATTATTTAAATTTTAATTGAAACCTTAAACTTTTCAAACACATAGAATATATTAAGAGATTTCCAATTCTTACTTTCTTAATATTAGACCAAATTTTTTTTTTACTAAATTTGGCATTATACCAAAGTTATGTAACAAAATTATAAAACATTCCAAGAAATAGTATAAGACAACTTCTAGCCAACTAAGCTGAAACATCAATATTATTTATCACATTGTTCCGGGTACATAGAAAAAACTAAAAGCAAATGATGGAGATGAGAAAGGTAGGATATCCTTTACGTAACAATAGGAAGGCGACACAAGAAATTTCTTCTCCTGTTGTGTATGGCTTCAATGACTGTGTCTTGCAAAATTTTGCTGTCCCTGCAAAACTAACATAAACATAGGATAAGTTTTTATTTTCCTTAACTGCCATCAGCAAAGCAATTGCCTTAGCTTTCAAAGGAGTTAAAGTTGAGCAATCGATGATTTGCCATGAAGGATAGACACTTCTTTTTATAAAGATTCCAAGCAATGCATGTTGGTGGGGAGATACCCATAATACATATGTGAGACAGACATATTGCTTACAAACACTGAATAATATTTCAGTATTTTTTATATTTTTGTGTCCATGAGCTCCCTGGTTTGAAGGTATCATTTCATCTTGCCTTAATTTGGATTCATACCATAATTGCTTACCCAAGATTGCATTATTTTATATATATATATATATATAGTATTTATAAGATGGGGAATGAATTCTTTTCAATTTCAAAAAAACCAAACTATTCTTGGCTTTTCATAATCACCAACCGTTGAAGGAAAAATAAGGAAGTCATACCTTGATAGTTAGGACAATTAAGTACGAATGTTTAGAGATTTTGTTGAAGAGAATTGGACACCATTGTTACCCACTTTGGAGAATATCTAGAAAGCAAATCAATCAATGGCTATACTACCTATTAGAGAATAGTTTAGAAGATGATATTTTTTTTGCAATGACAGCTGAAATTATGGGCACATACATTCCGGGAAAATGAACAACCAAAAGGGAATAATTGTAATATCGTATAAGGAGAGAGAGCCTTGCATCCATCTGAAGTTGGAACCAAAAATCCTTGAAGAGCACTAAAGTAAAACTCCATAGTCTCTTAAGTGATTAAGCTTTTGGAGCTTCTCCAGTCCATAGCATTCCCACTATTTAAAGTTAAGCATCACCAAAAGATGATCGTTGCAAAGTTTCAGCACCACCAAAATTAAAAGGAACCAAAAAGAGATGTTTTTTTGTAACATATAGTGGCTTATTTGGAGAGGTGATCAGATATATGAAGAACATCATTAACTTTCTTTTATTATCGATCGAACAACTGCAAACAAAAAAATATTAGCCTAATTTTGAGATGGATGTCAAAACTTGCATATCAAGCTGACCTTATAAACATTGTCCTTGTCAATCCAGTAATAACTGAGATTAAATATTTTAAAAATTAGTATTATCCGTTTGTATGAGAACTCAATTTTTTTTTGTTCCTCTTTTTTTTCCTCACATACGACATAATGAGATATGGATCCTTTCTCGCTAACATCTTAGAGCTATTTTCAGATATAATCGAATTTTATTTGCAGTTTCGATTAATTCATCGTACCCGCAACTTTTTAACTGTTTCTTTCTCCTATCGTTAGTTTCACTATTATGCCTGTAAATCTAGTTTGTTCTTGCTTTCATATGGTCGTTGGTATGAACACGCCTTATCTTCTTCGCCGTCTGTTACATCCTTAAACTCTAGGAACAAAGCGTATGCCCCGCCTCCTTTGCAAACTCTCCCTTCGAGTTGTTCTTGCTAGCTATGGTTTCTAGGTTTGTTCCCTCTGATTGAGTTTCCTTTGCGTTCATTGTTGCTTCCTTTTAGCTGTTTCAATGTACTTATTTGAGTTAATGAGTTTTGGTTCACAAATGGTGCTAATTTTTTTGCTTTCGCTTTAAGTGCCCAACTAAAAGAGAACTGTAAAATGGTGAGTGCATGAACTAAAATTCGTTAAAGAAATCTAGAAATCTTAAAAAAATAAATGATTGGTACTGTATCAGTAATATTTTTTCCCTCGTAGTATGTGTAGCTTTAAAAAACCAATACTTTGTTCTTTGCATGGTAACATTTTGAAATCGATCAATTGAAACAAACGGTGGTGGTTGATCTATGACAGTAACATTATGTACACTTTTACTTTGCAAATAGGTGGATATAATTATGAAGAAAAATAATAAAATACATGAAAATCAAGAATTTTTGTGAGTGGGACAAAGACGCGTAACATAATTTTGGAGGACAAAGCTTACAATTGTTGAGCCGAGATCTCCCATCTTATTATGCGGTGTCTTCCCCACCGTTTCTATTTCAGACGGAGATTTTTCTGTATTTGCAAGGTATCAACTTTCGTGACGTAGAACTTGGTGGCGAGGTTTTATAAGCTTTCGTAGGCTAAGGGAAGCATCATAGGAGTTTGGCTTTTAAAATTGATGAATGATACTAATAATTATACAGTTAATAAGAAGAAATGGCAACGGAGTTGGAGGAAGCCAAATTGATAACACAAAGTAAACTGAGTATTGGGAATTCAGAGGAAATCTGAAACTCTCAATTGTTTGCAATGTAAAAGTAAACAATCATTAATAGGGCAAACGAAATAGACTCTTAATTATCTATATCGTTAATACATTTGAAGAGCATATTTTTTTATTTAGTTAAAATACTGATGTTGGCAAAAAAAAATTAAAATATTGATGTGGCAATATTTTAGAAAATTTCATTTTGGCTGATATGGATGGCTTAAAGAGCTCTAAACAGCTTTTTTTATTTAGTATAGATATTTTTTTTTTTATATTAGTACTAAATTAGGACCTATATATATACAGCTTTACATATATATACATATATCTATATATTTGACAACAGCTTCTACTACCGATTCAGAAATTATAGTAATATATTTTAAAATGCTTAAAATAAATTGAAAAACAAAACTAAATTGCTCGTTTAAAAAATATTTTTATTTGTTTAAGTTAATTTTATTTCTAAGTTTTAAAGATTTTATATTCATTAACCCATAACTTACATGCGGCACAATCATCTTGTAGATTGTCTTATACTTTGTTGTATAATTTACTATTTTATAACGCATAAAAAAACTAAAAAAATTATTTTATATCACTTGTGAAGATAAAACGAAAACAAATTGAGAATAATGATATAATATATCATTCATAAAGTATTTTAAAAATTGATTTTTTTATTTATATTTTAATCAAAATTTATTATTGCTAAAAACATTATTTTTAGTAAAATCATATTTCATTATATAAATTATAATAATAAATTTGAAAAAACTTTTACACGTGAAAAAAGTATTTTATTAATTTTTAAAATATTTTTCTTTTCTTAATTAAAATATATCATTTTATTTACTTTTATTTTTATTGATATTTTTAATCAAATTCCATTACATATTGCTTAATATTAATTTTCTTACTTATTTTTAAAATCATATTTCATGATATAACTTTTAATATCATATTTGGAAAAACTATTTTCTTTTAAATTCGCATATCATCTTTAAAAGGATATATTACTAAATATATTTTTTTATTTACTTTTATTTTTATTGACCTTTTCTATTTTTCATTTCCTGATTAAAATATATCTTTTTTAGATGTGTGAATTATTAACTTTGATCCAACTTTAACAAAAGGGGTAAAAAAAAGATATTTAGTGTGTACACACACAAAAAAAAATTATCCAGTGCACATTATTTTGTGCCTTGTATCATACGTCATACGTGAATTGGAAGATGACCGCCGGTGTAAGAGTCCGTAGCTCTTTATCAGAAAAAAGAGTCCGCACAATCAAAACTAGAGCATTAGAAGAAGGCTCGATCAGCTTTTTACCTGATGAGATCCTCCAGCATATCCTCTGCTTCCTTCCGACCAAATTCGCCATCAGAACTTCCCTCCTGCCCAAACGATGGAAGGGTTTATGGTGCGACACGCCTTGTATCTCCTTCGCTAGCTGCACACTCATGGCTGCTTCGAGAAACAGGACCCAAGAATGCTACACTGCTCAAAAGATGATGAGTCTACAACTCCGGACCGGCCAGATCCGCAGTGTTAATCACATCAACGTTTGGATCGAGCTGGCCATGAACCGCAGAGTGGAGAGTCTCTCCCTCGAACTTGACTTCAAGAGCGATTATAACTATACTTTTCCTGATTCCTTCTTCAATCAATCCTCCCTCAAGGAACTCAGCCTTGAGTCTCGATTTAAAACTATGATTGTTCCCAAAGTATCTGTGTCTTGGACATCCCTCAAGAAGTTGTCCTTGCGTAGGTGTAAACTCTCTGATGAATCCTTGGCTACGATTCTATCTGGTTGCCCGGTTCTCGAAAGCTTGACGTTGTGGTTCTGCGATGACCCGACCGTTGTTGATCTCAGCGATTCGCCGAGTCTGAGAACACTGGAAGTGCAACGCGACTTTGATGTACTGACGCCAATGAAAATTTTGGCACCACATATCCGTTGTCTCAGGCTGGATAGCACTAACTTACTACCTACTTTATTTGATGTCTCATCTTTAGCTGAAGCTAAACTGAGCCTCTGGTGTCGCCCACTTGCCACCGATGGAGAGTTTTTAAAAGTCGCGGTGCTAATGATGTTGGAAAGTTTGCAGAACGTAGAGAAGCTATCTTTTGGGAGAGAATTTATCGAGGTATGTTCCGATGGATTAGTTTTTCATTCACTACTAGTCTTTGATTTTCAATAAGTTTTAGGTACTTATAATGTGCACGCTAGTTTCAGTATCTCACACTATTTTTCTCTTTGCATTTTCTTGTTAGTTGTTTTCTTTTCCCGATCTTCTTGGTGTTCCTTTTCCGATGATGAAGGTCAAAGATTTGACTCTTGAGGCAACGTTACATGAGTATGTTATTCCTCCTGGTATTGAACGATTGTTACAAAACTCATCTGATTTGAAGAAGCTACACATAAGCAATTGGAAGACCCGGCCGGTATATTTACCATAAACCCTCTCTTATTTTTCTTGACCATGCTTAGCTATCAATGAGTTTGAATAATCCAAGAACCACCTTTGTTTGCTTCTTATTTTTTTTCTGTTGAGCAGGGGGTCCGACGTCGCCGTCGGAGCCAATCGCGTTGGGATGCAGAATCAAATGACGTGGCTACATTCATGGAACTTATGTTTGAAAACATTAAGACATTAGAGAAAATGGTCGTACGGGTGGACGACTATTACCTTGACCCTTACGTACCTTGAAGCAAGAGGGTTTAAACAGATGGGTCAGACACTTTCTCACAATAACAACAACGTAAAATGTCTCCATTGTGGTCTCCAAGACTAGATAAGTGGTGAATCATAAGGTTTTGGTCTTGAGTCATGCTGGACATCTTACATCGATCCTCAGTTTAACATATACTATAGAAGAAGAAGACTTCTCTTTATTACAGGACTAGTTAACAAACAATGTGCGGAGACTAAGTACAATTCTTATCATATATATCAGCCATGAGTTTTTCAACAACGATACAAACACTCTTCTCTTTTAGGTCTTTCTAATCTCTTGTAGTATCCTTGTTAGCATTGTACTCTTCTTGACATGGATAACACAGAAACATATATATATTCAGAGCAATCTCTTGTGTTGCAATGATGTACAACGGGATAGGTTTACAGACGACAAGAGGATCAGGGACTTGTGTCACAGGAATACCATCTAACACACGCTGCATTGTCATCATTGTGAAATCAAGGATCAACCAATGTCTTTTACTATCCTATCATGATGATCTGTTTTCAAGGAAGCCCAAGTTTTTTTTTTTCTTTCTTAAATCATCCACACATTTATATTAATTAAACAATGAAGCTCTTTTGATTGGTCACAAAAAAAGTACATCAAGCATAAAAGACAAAAGATCATTTAAGAAACGTTTTTAAAATCAAAATACTAGTAATTGCTTATTTAGGGCGCTCCGTACTTTGGACATCTTTGAAGAAGTTGTCCTTGCGTGGTGCTACTTTCTCTGACGAATTTTTTTGATAAGTATTAAAGGGAAAATGAGCACATTTATTAAAGGACTTTTTCTAGTAATAATCTAAGCCCATCAAGATAAATTAAAATCACACTGACTTGTGGATTAAGGAAGATTCTTTAAAAATAATGGAAAACTTCCAAAGAATAAGGATAAGAAGAACTTTTCCTAAACGGAAAAAAGGAGAAATATTCCTAAATAAAAAAAGAAAACGAGGTCAAAAGAACGGACCTCGCCTTCGCCTTCTTATAAATAGAGAGCTCCTCATAAGTTAAAGATCATCAGAAAACAGGATGAAAACCCGACCTAAAGCAACCACCAAAAAATCTATAATCTAGAGAGAAGACCTAATTCTCTCTAGATTTTTTCTGTCTAAACACTTCACAACCGAACTACGAATGGCTTGATCCCTTTGCAAAGGTACGTAGGCATCTTTTCTTAAAGGTCCAGCTATAACTTGATAAAAACTTCAAGTAGTCCATCTTTTGGATGACCTAATCTCCGAGCTCCAATTTAATATTCTCTAAAACCCACAACCAAAAATCAAAATCCTAGTGGTGATTTTCTGGTTCAACAGTTAGCGCCGTCTGAGGGGAATAGAGAATTATCAAACATGGAAAGCGGAGGTTCAAGACATCATCATCAATTCCGACATTAAAAGTCACGCACTGTACTGCAAAGCAAATCATGCAACCATCCGCCGAGATGAGTTTTGCTAATACACTGATCTATTTAAATTTATCCTCGAAAACCCAAGTTTTCTCGTTGATCAACACATATTTGCGAACTCATCGGTAAAAAAAAAAAAAAAAAAAAAAAAAAAAAAACCATGATCGTGGTGGGATGGTAGAAGAACCGGGCTGTGAATCAAGCCCTAAAACTCTTACGAAGAGTTACCTCGGCGCGTCTTAATCAAGACTATCCGAAGCAAAAGCTTATGATAACCAAATTCAAAGCTCTTATACTAAAGGCATGACATGCTTAAAAAGGAAAACTTCTCTTCTAAAAGCCAGCTCAGCTCAAACAAAGTCTTTCAAGACCGCATGTGGCGAACTCCACAAACGAGCTCCCATTCCGCTAAATCAAGCATGACAAGCTACGCAGCTCTGCTCAAGAAGTGCTACAAGTTTCCACCTCGTAATTCAAAGCCGAGATCTGAATCTCACATCTCAAAAAGACTATAAAAAAATAAAAATAAAAAATAAAAGAGACAAGACCCACTACCAAGCTATCTCAGCTTATACCGACGGGATGGCGATCAAACGAAAACTACAAGCAAAAAAAGTTTCTAACAAAAGCATGTCGCTCAGTCAGTTCGTCAGTACGACATACCGACCTAGTCTCAAAACGACTGAATAAAAGTTAATTCAAAGAAGAAGAAGAAGAAGGGGAATATGGAGGATGCTACTTCGGTAACTCACCAACAGCAAAGGAAACGCTGGTACAAATAACGTACTGGTGTAACCACCATCAACCCAAGAGTCTAAAGACAACGAGCTAAAACCCTAGCTAGGGTAGGAAATTCGTTTGGAGACTTTTCTTCTCGGACAAGAAATCTCTGCAAAACCTGCAATCTATAACCTAGAAAACAGTGCAAGTAATGATATTTGGAGTAGAATACCCGAACAACCAAGAAGATTCAGATCGCTTACAAGGCAGCTATAGAAAGATCTCTTTGCATAGAATCTGTAAGAGCTTACGGCGTATCAATCGGAGTTAAACTCCATCCACAAACCGCTTTACAAATTTGCAAACAATCATAAAAACCTGCAATTTTAATCCGAAGGAAGAGATTTTGAAAGATTTTCGGGGCAATTTCCCGACGACTCAGAAGGATCCAGAAAACGATCTACATACGGTTGAAAATCTCTTGATGTCAGCTATTCAGATCTTCCTCTCGTTACCTATTCTGAAGCATATTTGACCCGTAACTCGGCTCGCAATTTGGCACGAATTTACTGTAAAAAAATCAGTTTCAGTGCATCTTCTTCAAACAAACATGGGAGGTTTGTGTGTGATCTACCACGATTATCGCTCCAACAGCGCCACGACGTCTGGCTTCGCAACTTTTCCAATCCACGTTCAGCTCAATCGTGAGTTCATAAACAAATTCTCAACACCAAGGAAAAACAAGCTTTAAAGCTTCAACTTCAGTTCGGGATCTCAAAAGAAGAAGAAAGAATAGCTTGCATTCACGCAACCTCAAGACCAAAAAAATTCAAAGAAGCCTGCTCCAAAAGAAGATATAGAAGAAGCAACAAGTTCCCAGGATTTGCAAAAAAAAACCACAGTAACAAACTTGTGATGAAAGAAATACAACGTTTGATTCCCTTGCTCTTTCAATTCGACCTTCCCACCGAAATCCGCCAAGAATGAGTTTCTCGTTAAAACCTTGTGCAACAGCAAGTCAATAACACCAGCTCGTACATGAACTCCCGAAGCACCAAATAAGCCGAAGTACGCTTCCATCACGCAAGCATCATTCAAAGCCGAGCTTCAAGTCTCGCATAAAGAAAAATTCACCATGCAATCTCTTCTCGAATGAGACCACTACGGTGAAACAAAAGAAGCTCCAAAAGTGAGACGGCAAGTAAAAAGCAAAAGGATGTTCACACTGCTGAACTAGAGAATGCTCAAACTCTTAACAAGCTCGGCACGTAGAGCAATCTTCCCTTATGCGAATGCATCTTGCTGAATTGATGTTCTGGCCAAACATTCGATTCGAGAAAGCAAAAAGAAAAAATTAAATTAGTGGCTGATCACCACTCTTTTGATACTTCGGTCTGATTTAAGTACTTCCGAAGTGGATAAGATGAATGCCGAGGACAATACTCGCACGACCCTTGATCATACCTTTCGGGCCGAAGTGAATCCTGAAAGCTTGGTATTCGATCTCGTTGTCGTTTGGTATAAGACAAGCAAATGATTCTCGCCTCCAGCACCGGCCTAAAGAATGCCCCCGCATCGCAAGTCGAAAAGTCGACTTCGCAAATCCTTCAAAGTTAAGGATCACCTCGCCAACGAGCATTTAAGCATTATGTCTTTGAAAGACCATTACACGCTTTGAAAAGCATCGCTACACTATCACTTCGATTGATTGATTTATCTAAGTCGACTAGATAAATTTATCGCTTCGTTTGATAAAATTAGCATTCTATCTGGTTTAGTCATCTAAATCAGTTGCATAAACTTCAATGCAAAAAAACATTCTCGCTGAAGCAGCTCTGCATTACAAAAAGGAAGAAATCTTTATTCAATAAAACACAACACTCTGCATCCATCGAAATGCGATGTGAATCGCCAAAGTGCAATGTGAAATCAAGGTCGCCGAAGTGCGATGTAAATCAAGACCAGCAACGACTTTTTTGAAGAATTATCCTTAACAGGCCAACTCGAATTATGGAAGACACTCTCGACGAGCTGCCGCTTATTGCAAGATCAAACCAATTTTACTTCATGAAGTCTCGCCGAACTTGGGGGGACTTACTGTTAGAGGGGAAATGAGCACATTTTCCCCCTAAAAGGCTTTCTCTAGCAATAACCTAAGCCCATCAAGATAAGGAAAATCACACTGACTTGTGGATTAAGGAAGATTCTTTAAAGATAATGGAAAACTTTCAAAGAATAAGGAAAAGAAGAACTTTTCCTAAACGAAAAAAGGAGAAATATTCCTAAATCAAAAAGGAAAAATGAGGTCAAAGGAACCGACCTCGGCTTCTTATAAATAGAGAGCTCCTCATAAGTTGAAGATCATCAGAAAACGGGATGAAAACCCGACCTAAAGCAACCACCGAGAGAAGACCTAATTCTCTCTAGATTTTTTCTGTCTAAACATTTCGCAACCGAACTACGAATGGCTTGATCCCTTTGCAAAGGTACGTAGGCATCTTTTCTTAAAGGTCCAGCTATAACTTGATAAAAACTTCAAGTAGTCCATCTTTTGGATGACCTAATCTCCGAACTCCAATTTGATATTCTCTAAAACCTACAACCGAAAATCAAAACTCTAGTGGTGATTTTCTGGTTCAACAATAAGATTTTGTCTGGTTGTCCAGTCCTCAAAGCTTAACATTGTGTTTATGCGTTCCACTGAGTGTTATTGATCTCAGCAACAAATCACTGCATCTGAGAACATTAGATATATACTACTTCGAATCCAAAGCTAGGGTTCTGGGGCCAACGAAGATTGTGGCACCACATACCCATTGTCTCAAGTGGAAGTCTCAGTTACCATGCAGTTTAGCTGATGTCTCGTCTTTAACCGAAGCTAAACTAGACATTATATTTTGCTATGATGAAACAATATTCTTTAAGGATGATTTTTTTCAAGTCATGGTGCTACAGATGCTAGAAAAGTTGCATAACGCAGAAAAACTTATTTTTGGGACATACTTTCTTCATGTACGTGTGTTTTTTGGATACTTACTTCAGTCAAGTTGAATCAGCTGGTTTTTCTATCATGCATTGCAATGGTGCATAGTCTGTTTTTTTCTGACCAATAATGACTCTTTATCTTGTTATGCTAGATTTTATCTCTTGGCGGGATTCGTGGTCTTACTTTTCCGACGTTGAAGGTTAAAGCTTTGACTCTTGTGACATCAATCTCTCAGTATGTTATTCCAAGTCCAGAAAAGATTTTGAAAAACTCACCAGATTTGAAGAAACTAACATACATACATGTCATTACAACGTTAACAGAGTATGTTGACAATACAAAACCTCTTTTTTATTTTCCTTAACGAACTGTTATCAGTTTGAATAATATATATATATATATACATCTTTTTCTGTTATACAGGAGGAGTATTTTGACGATTATGTGGATTTGCAAGGCTTGAATGCGGATCAGTGCTGGAGATCAAAAGATGGAGTCGCTTGGAACAAGTACCACTGTAATCTAGAGCCAAAGCATGTGGCTTCATTCATGGAACTTCAGCTTAAAAACACAAAAGACGTTAGAGAAAATGGTCGTACAGTTGGAAGGACGTTACCTCGAGTTTAAGGAGCTGGTTCGAACACTCTCTCACAACAGCAGTGTATCTATTCTGCTCTGAATCAATCAAATCTATTAGGTAATGACTAAGACATACATCGTATTGGCTTTTTCTTTGAATTTCTTATACCTTTTTCTTTTTAATATTGGAAATTAAGTAAGTTTATTATTTTTTCAACCGTGAGTTTTTTTCAATAGTGGTTCTACTTGAGATGATAGCAACGAACAAGTCTCTGATAGAACAACGTCAGTTTCAAGACTAGTATAATGTCTTGAAACTGAAACAACTGAATTTGTTTGGAAAGTGCAACGGCTTTGTCTTGTCTGGTGAAACTGGGGAAGGTAACAAGATTGATCTGGCTTTGTCTTGTCAATGTACTTGTGATCGTGAAGCAATCAGAAAGTTTAAGGAGACTTATGAATTGACCACTACAACTTCGGTAACTGTTGTCTGTTGTATAATAAAATAGATTCAGAACACCACCAACTTGAGTTTAACTAACCACAAGAAATGGTTTCAACAAGAAACTGATTGCAATCATACATAACATCTAACTACTCAAAAAGTCAATAGTAACTGATAATAAAGTTCATAAATTCTCTGCATATATATCGTAATAACCAGAAGTAAATTGTACTAAGACAAGCAGAGATTGCAGAACAAGTTCATAACACTAGATGATGATATATACAGATTCTATTGCAAATTTGCAATCACACGATGATCTCTTTACACTGCTTTTTATTTTTGTTTAATTTTCTCAGCCTCTTCTAATATATAATCGGAAAATGACTTTGCATCAAACGCAGATACATAGCAAGTAGATCATCATTTTTAAAACACTTCAGCAGTAAAATCTTCAGAGTATAACAGAGAAGGTAACATAAGAGATTGCAAAACTGAGAATTTAGACTTTTAAGAAACAGAATCAGAAACCATTCTTCGTCTTCCTCGTAAACAATGAGTCTCTTAGCTTTTATTATCCATTAATGGAGGCATGGGTTACAATCGCTACATTCTATAATCCAGAAACCAAGCTCGAAGGCACCACAAACTCAACAACAATGGTAGAATCGAGATAATCACGAACCTGATCCTTCTGCGAATTCACCAAATCCGTCTGGGAATCCACAGACTCCAATTCAGCCAGATCCTTAAAATACGCAATCGATGCAATTGAGAAGCCTTTAGCTCTAGCCGGAGAGAAGTTTTCACCCACAGTGATCTGACCAATCCCTGGAAATTTCTCGCTGAGTCCCTTAATCACATCCAAAATCTCCGATTTAGCCTGATCGGAGAGATTCTCTTTCGGTTTAAGGAAAGTGAGTTTGGCAACGGAGCCAGGAGGCGGAGCTAGGGTTCCGGGGACTCGATCGGCGATCCAATCGACGGCCATAACGTCTTCGCAGATCGGTAACACCGACTCCTTGACAACGCGGACGTGATCTGGATGTGCGGCGTAGTTGTTGAGATCTTCCTTAGATCCGTAACGGCTATGGAGGACGTGAGTGAAGGCGGTGGCGGAGGATCTGACACGGTGGAGAGGAGCGGCGGAGATGTGGAGCACTTGGTTGAGGGAGACGAGGCCGTTGAGGCCGTTCATCATGGAGGCGATTTTAGAGGAGTCGGTTTCGTCTTTGACCTTGAAGAGGACGATGTGCTCGATGATCTGATTCTGAGGAGTGGAAGAAGAAGAAGACATTGCGACGGCGGAGAAGGAGCGTCGTGAGGAGGAGGAGAAAGGGAGACGGAGATGATGGATTGGGGAGTGTTTGGTTGTAGAGAAAGCGAGAGAAAACGGCGAGGAAAAATGCGGCCGAGCTCTAACGCAAATCATCATTATCTTATCGTTTTGATTTCGGCGTCTTGTGGAGTGAAACACTTTCTTCGATCGCGACTGTGAGCAGTGTGAGACTTGAACACTCACTAACTTTGGTTGGTGTCAATAGTTTATACACACGTGTCAACTTCAGAGAAAAGGTTTGGTAGAAAGTTGGTGAAAAGAATGTAAATATGAAATGTTGAATTTGTGTATCAGGATAAATCGGTTCGATTGGGGTTAACCGGTTTAGACACTTTCAGATGTATACACATACGTCATTGCATGACAACAATAATTAATTACACGAGGAATGTGTATGATCTCATCGCACATTAGTACTACTGATAAGATTATTATTCTACAATTTTAATGGCAAAAAGATTATATTTGAACATCTTGATTATTCCATAATTTCCTATCGAAAAACCTGTTGTTGAACCAAATAAACACACTAAGAAAAATCGTATAATCAAATTGTTTAATTAAGATCGTTGTCTACAGTTAACTTTTTCCTTTTTTCTTTTGTGGCTTCTTGAAAATAGAACAAGAGGTGAAAGCAGTGGCTCCTATGCGTAAATTTAAATCAGACATAACATGTGGAAGATGCGGAAACCACAGCAAAATGGCGCAATGGGAATTGAAGTCATTTCCTCATTGCTATTGTACTAACAAAAGAATTCGAAAGCAAGACAAACATGTCTTCACATGTTATATCAAACTTTTTTTGTTTTGGTAAAAATGTTAAAAAAACAAAAAAAAATTGTTATATCAAACTTCCTTGCAACCAATAGCTCAAACATGTTTGTACATGTATGCATGCACTTTTTCTTTGAATGATTTGATAGATATTGATCTAGTTTTTTAATAACTGAAGTGTTTTGTTGAAAAAAAAAATTCAATTTATATGCAAGAAAAGTAATACAGGATATAACTTTGACATCATGTAGTTTTTAAAAGTAGTGAGAAGAGGAAAACATATACTTTTTCGTTTTTTTATATATGATGTTTTAGAGATTATTTTTTGTTCGAAAATAATTAATGCTCTCACATATCTATATGTAGAAATTAATTGTATTTTTATTGTTTTAACTGTTTGAATTTTGTATATTATTTTTCTATTGGTTCAATTGTTTTGAAACTAATGATAAAAGCATGTTTTGTGTTGGAAAAATACAAAATTAAATAATTTATTAATCTATATGTAAAAATCTTAAACATCATATATGAAAGAAGTAAACTTTACATAACCCAAAAAGTTCATTACAGTATTAAGAATTAATTGCTTATGGGTTGATTTGGAATGAGCTTTCATGCTGTACACAGCGAAAAAAAATACAGTCTGATTATATGAACTAATCATTATATACATAACACTTAAAAACATATAGTTTGAAATAAAATAAAATAAACCATTTTTTGGAAACAATAGATACGGTAAATAACTATTTCCTTCATCCTACAATTATATTAAGGAGGTTATAAAATTACTTGCTAATTCTAAAAGGGAAGCGATTGTAGTTAAGATTGAGTTTTAAATTGAACCTAGATGGGATAGCTATTTTGGTTCCCAAAATTCCACGCTAGCTCCCGTTTTCGCAAAATTTTGTCCCCAGCTTTCGTTTGCTCATCATGCCTACTCAGTGGATGGAGTATACATATATATTAAATCGATGTCATAGTGGATTGTGATGGATCTTTAAGACTTATGAGCACATATTATCTAGGTCTTGACTAGCTTGAAGATGGCTGAACCAAGAGTCTTAGATTCCAAAATCACAACACATGATAAAAGATATCGTATCAATCATGTATTACTCACCAATGATACGATCTCATTACCTTCAATGTAGATTGATTTTCTGTATATCATTTTAGGAATGTAGATACACGCTTGTGGAGCTATATAACTCTGTAACATTCTTGTCAATAAGATCATCACAAACTTCTTCTTCATTATCGAACTCTGTTATTGTTCATGGTATCAGAACCTGAATAATAAGATCTCGATCAAAAAATTTTTTTTTTCTTCCCGATCTCACTTTCATCAAAATATCTCATTATGGAGACACCTGTGAACACGAACGGCCGAAATCCGAACCCGAACCTCACCATCACTGAAACCCGACGAACGATCTCTCCTTACGACCTTACCGCCGCTGATAATCCCGGCGCCGTGATATCTCATCCGTTGCTGAAAGGATCCAACTATGACGAATGGGCTTGCGGTATGAAAACGGCCTTGTGCTCTCGAAAGAAATTTGGATTTCTCGATGGTACTATTGAGAAACCCACAGATGACTCTCCTGATTTGGAATATTGGTGGACGATTCAAGCTCTTCTTGTCTCCTGGATCAAGATGACGATTGATCCCTTACTTCGTTCAAGTATCTCTCATCGTGACGTGGCCAAAGACTTGTGGGATACCTTGAAGAAGCGTTTCTCCGTTACTAATGGGCCGCGTATTCAACAGCTAAAGGCAGAGTTGGCATGTTGCAAGCAACGCGGACTTGCCATTGAAGCTTATTTTGAGAAGCTGAATCGAATTTGGGACAACATGGCTCATTACCGACCTCTCCGCATCTGCAAGTGTGGTAAATGTGACTGCGACTTGGCCACAATGCAAGAACAAGATCGTGAGGCTGAAAGAGTTCATGAATTCTTGTTCGGTCTTGATGACTCCTTTCGTACTGTGCGTTCCACTTTTGTTTCTCGCACACCACTGCAACCGTTGGAGGAAGTTTACAATGTTGTGCGTCAAGAGGAAGCCCTTAAAACCTTTGTTCGTAGCATCGAAGAAACACCAGAAGTGATTACGCATGCCGTTCAAACTAGACCGCGTGCACCTCTCTCTCGTAATGATGCTCCAGACACCTCTGCAGTTTGCAAGCATTGTCAACGCACGGGTCATTCTTCCGACTCATGCTTTGCACAGATTGGATATCCGGAATGGTGGGGTGACAGGCCACGGAGCAGAATTACACAAGGGAGAGGACGTGGCTCTATTTCTGGAACTTCGACATTTGGGCGTGGGCGTAATGTTAATTATGCTAATGCAGTTCAAGTACCTCAAAATCAGTCTCCAACGCATGTGAATTACACGATCACTGATAGAGATCGTGATGGTGTGAATGGCCTTAATGATACACAGTGGCGAGCATTGATGAATCTTCTGAACGGAGGAGCAAGTACGAGTTCTGAGAAACTCTCGGGTAAGTCTTCTGTTTCTTCTTGGATAATG